GGTGAGTATTCCCAGCTACTTGGAGCAAAAGCTGGAGACTGTGGCAGACACAGCAAGGGAAAGGCCTGGAAGAGAGTGGGTGTTGTAGAGGCAGTCCCATCCCCAGAGGGCCTCAGGGTCTGGGCTCCACATGACTGCTGCACCCCTAAAAAAGGCTTCCTAAGAAAACTGCAGGCTGTGGGGTTTGCACCCCTTCCCTAAGGCACCACCAACTTTTCCGTTAGCTTGACCCCCAAAAATATAAATAAATACATGTTGAATAAATGGATTCCGTCACCGTGCTTCAGTTCCAGCCACAGGGATGGTGGGGGCAGACGGTGCTATGGCAGCCGGGCCGAGGGTGGCTTCCCCTCCTCCCCTGATTCAGAAAACACTTGTCTAGTGAACCCTGCGAGCTCTATGATGAGCACTGATTCAGACCTTGACAGCAAAATCCTGCAGGGAAGGAACTCTTGTCCCCATTTCCTATGTGAAGAAAGCAGAGCCAGGGCCACCACAGATCCCAAGTCCACGGTGAGGGAAGCAGCTCCCTGCCCTTCAGCCTGGGCCTCCTGACCCCAAGCTGAGTTTGGTGGGCGCAGTGGGGCAGGAGTGTAACCGTGTGGTTGGTGCCTACCAGAGAGCATGGGCACCTCGCATCCAGCCACGCTGAGCACCTCCTGTTTCATCTGAGGCCCCCTATGGGGCCTCCTTTCCCCTGCACATGCTGTTCCGTTACCTGGAATGCAGTCTTGCCACCACCATCCCCGCTTGGCAGACTCCCTGCATGGAGTCCTTCACGGCCCAACTCCGGTGTCCCCTCCGCAGAACCCATCTTTGATGGTCCCCAGCAAAACTAGAAGTGTCTCTGTCCAGGACTCCCACAGTGCCCTCTCCCACCAGCTGGTTGAAGCTCAGACCACACTCGCCTGTGCACCGGACCAGAAGCCTCTTCCGTGATGTCACGACCGGGCCCTGAGCACGGGTCCCCGAGCGTTTTTGTGGGTCCTCACGCAGCAGCCTGCGTGGGTGGGTGTGCTTGTAACCCAGGGCGATGACAGGCAGGTTTTCTATAGCAGAGTTTGACCTTGACCTGCCAAATAGCACAGTCCTGATTCCTAGCAGCCGCCCGAGGCGACAGCTGCTGGTCGGGGTCCCAGGGGTGACTTCAGAGACCCACAGAGGCCCCTGGAAGATCCCAGCCAGACTGAGAACAGGGCCTGTGATAACAGCACTACTTCTCACAGGGCCCCGGCTGCACCGTCGTGTATTCATGTGCTACCGGCGTGATTTTTACCAGGACACATCTCATCTGTGTCATTTTTCACTTCAATTGCTTTGTTCTAAGTCATATGAAACTGCAGGGCTTGTAAAAAGTTCAAAAATGTGCCAAAGGGTATATTAAAAAAAAAAATCTCCCTTCCAAGCTGCCTCTGCTATTCAGATCTCCTAAAATATCTTCATATATATATATATATATATATATATATATATATATATTATTGATTTTTTTTACAGAGAGGAAGGGAGAGGGATAGAGAGTTAGAAACACATCGATGAGAGAGAAACATCGATCAGCTGCCTCCTGCACACCCCCCACTGGGGATGTGTCCGCAACCAAGGCACATGCCCTTGACAGGAATTGAGCCTGGGACCTTTCAGTCCGCAGGCTGACGCTCTATCCCCTGAGCCAAACCAGTTTCGGCTAAAATATCTTTCTTATGTGCCCTTAAATAAGTAGATATTTATACCCACCCCCCACCCCCAGCCTTATTTATTTATTTATTTCCCAAAAAGTAGCGTACAGCACACTGCTCTGAAGCTTGCTTTTTTTTTTTTTTTTCTTAATATATCTCGGTGTTTGTCCCAAGTTAATATTGCATTATATAATTGGGACACGTTTTATTAAATCATAGGTTTGCATCGCTCGTTATATCGAGGTTTTTAAAAAATATATATTTATTTTTAGAGAGAAGGAGAGAAACATGGATGCAAGAGCAAAGCATCCATCGCCCACCTCCTGCACACCCCCTGCCAGGGATCAAGTCCGAAACCCCAAGCATGTGCCCAGGGGATCGAACCACCGGCAGCCTTTCAGTGCTCAGGACAACGCCCTACCTACTGAACCACACTGGCCGGGGCCGCATTGCTTGTTTTGCGCTTACTCTGTTGTGCATTAGAGAAACACCTCTGTCGTACCGTTTTTGTCACACTCTGGACAACCCGGTGGACAGCCCCCAGCTAACGCATGTGACTCACCAGCTCACATCGTGAGGTTCAACAGCCACCGTTCAGCCCCTCCTCTGCCATGGCTCCCTGCCTTTCGCCTCCTCTTCCTCAGTCCCAGGTGTCAGTCTATGAATGGGCTGGGCCGGGGCCCACCGGAGGGGGCTGTCAGGTACTCACTAGCCACTCAGACCTGACTCCCTGGGTCTGAAGGCTTCCTCGGGAGTGAGAGAAGGGCACTCTGGGGGCTCTGGGGTGAGCTGAGTGTGGGGTTGGGGTGCTGGGCAGGGAGGGACAGGGTTTAAAGGGCGTGCAGCCTGCCGCGAAGAAAGCCCCGGCATCCAGGATGAACGTCCAGAGTTTGGCCCGGGAGGGGCCGGGTGAGCTGGGGGAAGGAAGGGCCCAGTGCTCACCTGGTGAAGAGTGGACTCTGAGCGTGTGCGCTCGGGCTGGCCGAAGCCCCTTCCTCCTCCTCAGCCTCTGCTGTGAAAACCTCGGCTTTCTCAGTGTTGGCTTCATAGCAGAGAATGGAAAGACCACACTAGGAACATGTCTGATGAGCAGCTAAGCCCAGTGCTGTCAGTGAGGGTTCGGTGGGGAAACTGAGGCCCATCGCAAGGCGTGGCTGAGCTGAGAGCCATGAGGGCATAGCTCAGGACTGTGAGCTGCCAGCCCTCTCCTCAGGGCCCAGCCGGTGTGATGTCCACAGTAGTTCTTTGCTGTCTCTCCTCTGGCTCCATTCTCTCACTACCAGTTAAGGGCCTACCTAATGTCACATTTCTTTTTTTTTTTTTTTTTAATATATTTTATTGCTTTTTTTACAGAGAGGAAGGGAGAGGGATAGATAGCTAGAAACATCGATGAGAGAGAAACATCCACTAGCTGCCTCCTGCACACCCTCTACTGGGGATGTGCCCGCAACCAAGGTTCATGCCCTTGACTGGAATCGAACCTGGGACCTTTCAGTCCACAGACCAATGCTCCATCCACTGAGCCAAACTGCATGTCACATTTCTTGACTTCTTTGTTTTAGAAGAAAAAAAGTTCCTCTTTTAACGAGAGGGGCTCTTGCTACAAGGCACCGACTCTAGCAAGGTGCCTTGTCACCAGGGCCCACCTGCCTGCTGCTCTCAGGCCCCAGCTTCCGGGGGCAGAAACCCACCACCGTCTTTCTCCCCTTTGCCCATTGAAAACCCTTGGCCCCACGCTTTTACTTGCCTCCTGTCACGTACTTTTCCAGAGCACATTCCTGAGCGGTATGTCATCTGTGTCCAAATAACCCTGAGAGGTTCAAGTTCTGGGATGGCTACGTGGGGAATCCTGGAACCCTGAGCTCCAGCCTGGCTCTCTGTAGACCCCTGAGCGAGCTGGAAACTCTGCTCTCCCTAATCTCAGCCTCTGGGGGCTCCCGTTTCCCACTGTGAATGGAGGGAGGGAAGGATGGGGCCACATTTCCAATACTGATCAGCCTGAAACTGTTCCCATTTTGCAGACCAGCAAACAGAGGGTGTAAGAGGAGTGGGGGAGATAAGTCTTATCAACGCTTAGCGTGCTGGAACTCACAGAGCAAGTAGGCAGGTAGACTAGAATCAGAAGCTAGCCCCTTTTGAGTCCAAATCCAAGGTTCCCCCTCCCCCACCCATCTATGTAGTTTCTCCCATGTAATTTGTTTTTTGTTTTTACTTTGTTCACTTTTTATTTTATTTTATTATTATTATTTTTTTGATAGCTGACACTCAGTGTTTATTCTTTGTTGTATGACTTGACACATGTTAATTAATTTTAATCATCATCATAACCCACGAAGATGTATACTTCTTATCCCCATTCTTTGTTCACTTTTTATTTTTTTTATTTTTTTATTTTTTTAAATATATTTTATTGATTTTTTACAGAGAGGAAGAGAGAGGGATAGAGAGTTAGAAACATTGATGAGAGAGAATAATCGATCAGCTGCCTCCTGCACACTCCCTACTGGGGATGTGTCTGCAACCAAGGTACATGCCCTTGACCGAATCGAACCTGGGACCCTTCAGTCTGCAGGCCGACGCTCTATCCACTGAGCCAAACCGGTTTCGGCTCTTTGTTCACTTTTTATTTTTATTTTTTATTTTATTATTATTTTTTTAATATATTTTATTGATTTTTTTTTTGCTCCCCTCCCTCCCTTCCTCCCACACATACCCTCCCTCCCCAGAGTTTTGTGTCCATTGGTTGTACTTATATGCATGTATACAAGTCCTTCGGTTGATCTACTATCTCCCCCAGATCTTCCTCCCCTCCCCACTGTAATTTGACAGTCTGCTTGTTGCTTTACTATCTCTATATCTATCATTTGGTTCATCAGTTTATAATGTTCTTTATTATCCATAAATGAGTGATGTCATGTGGTTCTCCCATGTAATTTGGACCCCTTTCATAGGGGCATTGCTTCCTGGATCTCCCCAATCAGTCTGGAGCCACCTGCACCCCGGCATGGCTCCACCCAGAGAATGAATGACACCCCGGAGAATCCAAGGCCTGTCCATCTGTAGCTGAAACCTAGCTGCAGAGAGAGAGAGAAGACCAGTTCCCCCTCCGCCCCAGAATGAATCTGGCCAGCCTGGTGTCTAGAAGTCAGGAGGGCTGGTCAGGGCACCTGGAGTCAAAAAGTGGCCAAGTTTCCTGGGAGAAAGGCTGGTGGAGTGCCAGGAGTCAGGCAGGATACCTGAGTCAGAGAACCTGCCAGCCCAGGCTCTGCCCTGTAGTAACCCGGCCCAGAGCTGCCTGTAACAGTGTGTTGTTTTTCTCTGCAGAAGCTGACCGGCACCCTTATGTTGGCCGTGGGAGGGGCAGTGCTCGGCTCCCTGCAGTTCGGCTACAACACCGGGGTTATCAATGCCCCCCAGAAGGTGAGCGCTCCGCTTTCCTCGGCTTATCAGCACCAGCTCGCACTGCACACCCTCTCACACACTCTCCCTGCCTCTGAGGTGTCAGGCATTTATGCCAACTCACCATCTGCCTCAGTACCCTCTTTTCTGGCCCCGAACAGGTCAGAGGTTCTTACCATTGGCCTTAAATTCTTGGGGCTTCAGAATTCTAGAAGCTTGGGGCCTATAGAAACATGGGGTCTTCATAGGCGGGACCTTGAGCAACCTCCTCTACAATGCAGACATTTGTAATAACCAGAGCAATCCCTGTTATAAGGGTGCTGCTTTTAAGTGGTACCTGGGGCTAGAGAGGGCTCTCCTGGTGCTTATCTCACTGGCTGCTCACCTGCAGCCCTAAAAGGCAGGTGGGCAGCATCCACCATGCCCATCCTGCAGATGGAGAGAGTAGCCGGAGAGAAGGCACCTGTCTGGCATCACCCAGCTCGTCAGGGATGGAGCGGGTGTCCCCAGCACCAGTCTGCCGGGGAGCCCTCCGGGCCTGATGGCCCCTGAGCCTGTGCTCACACCCATCCACGCACAGCACACTCCTTATAAGGCTTCCCACTCTAGGTTGAGCCGCCTCCTCTCCCTGGAGGCCCTCTGCCAGTCAAAACACAAATGGCGTCTTGCCCTAGGGAACCGCAGGGGCTGAAGGCCTGTGCTCACTTCCTCTCCCCACAACGCATCCTAGATCTGCCCTCACTTGTTCAGTAGGAGGGACCCTGGTGATCACCTCAGCCCAGCCCTCTTGCCCCAGGGAGGAGAGAAGAGGAAAGCAGTCAGGAAAGGGAACTGGACTGCCTCCCTCGGCCACACCAGGCCTTCTGCATATGTCCCTGAGGTCGGGTGGTGATTTCCATTTTACGAACCTGAGAACTGGCCCTGGGCAGATGAGGGTGGATGACATGACTAATGGTCTCAAGGTCCTGTAGCTAGTCAGTGGTGGAGTCAGAAGCCACGATCTTGTTTATAGGACCCCTTCCTGACCAGCCAGCTTGTGAGTGTAAAATGCTGCACCTCCCTGGGGAGGACGAAGTGAGAGTGGACGTTCGCTGTTCAGACTAGAAAGTGAGAGTGGCTGGCTCCCGAGGCTCGGGGGCCTGTGGGAAGGACAAGGTGGTGTCGGGAGTCAGAGCTGGGCCTCCCCCACGCAGGCGGAGGGTGGCTGTTGGAGCTACGCCCCGTGCTGAGGAGCGGGTCACAGGGAGTCATGCCTGCTGAGTCATGAAGGGACTTTTCTCCGCTTGTCTGGGATGGGAACTGAGGGCACATGCTTGGTGCAGCCACCAGCCCTGCGTCGCTAAGTGCTCCGAACAGCCCTTGCCAAGGTGTGTGCCTCAGAGCGGGCTCCGTTTGGGAATCCTTACAGACGGAAAAGCTGTATCATCATAGAAGGAGGTTGAGGGCATATTGGGATTCCCTGGACACTCTCAGATTCTGAGCTCATTGGTCTGGGCTTCTGTTTGGGCATCGAATTATTTTTCCTCTCTTTTTAATTTAAAGTCTTTATTTTATTTTATTTTTTTAGAATATATTTTATTGATTTTTTTTTACAGAGAGGAAGAGAGAGGGATAGTTAGAAACAAGGTCCTCCACTGGGGATGTGCCCGCAACCAAGGTACATGCCCTTGACCGGAATCGAACCTGGGACCTTTCAGTCCACAGGCCTGTGCTCTATCCACTGAGCCAAACCAGTTTCAGCTGAAGTCTTTATTGTTTAAAGTATTACATAAGGCTCATTTTCCCCTCATTGACTTCTCCCCAGCCACCCCATTCCCCCGGGCATCCAATTTTTAAAGCTCCCCAACTGATTCTAACGTGCAGCCAAAGTTGAGAACTATTGGGTGAAGTGATGTCATGACTGATGACATAGTCAGTTACTGACAGAACTAGGGCTCTAAGAGCAGGACACAGGAGGTGTTTTCTAGAAACAACAGGGTGGGGATGAGCAGGGGGCCTCCACCCTGCAGAGACGGGAATAAAATGCCCAGAGGAGAGAAAGGCTGGTGTGTGACTTGGGTGAATGGGAGGAGAGAAAAGTTTGAGAAGGCCACAGCTAAGCCAGAGCCTGGCCACCAAGGGCCTTGTGGGTAGGGTAGCTTTCATCTGTAAAATATCCAGCCACCGGTGTGGCATGGGACAGTCAGACTGGGCATGTGGGCCTGACCGGTGTGGTTCAGTGGTTGAGCATCGACCTATGAACCAGGAGGTCATGCTTCCATTCCCGGTTAGGGCACGTGCCCAGGTTCTGGGCTGGATCCCCAGAAGGGGGCATGCAGGAGGCAGCCAATCAATGATGTTTCTATCTCTCTCCCTCTCTGTCCCTCTCTGAAATCAATAATAACATATTTGGGGGAGGGGGAGCAAAGAATGGTCATGTGCACACTACCATCTAGCGCAGTGGTGGGCAAACGCATTAGTCAACAGAGCCAAATATCAACAGTACAGTGATTGAAGTTTCTTTTGAGAGCCAAATTTTTTAAACTTAAACTTCTTCTAACGCCAATTCTTCAAAGTAGACTCGCCCAAGCCGTGGTATTTTGTGGAAGAGCCACACTCGAGGGGCCAAAGAGCCGCGTGTGGCTTGCGGACCGTTGGTCGCTGACCACGGGCTAGGGCAAGCTAGGGAGTGTGGACTTTAGAACGAGGACAGCGGGGGCCCATGAAGGAGGGCAGAAGTAATCAGATTTGTATTTGGGGAAGATGATCCGGGTGTCTGGGGTCTGGGATGGATCGAACATGTGAGACTAGAGACTGGGAAGCTGGTGAGAAGGCTGCTCTTGCAATAGGGGTGGAAAAATAAACACTGAGTTGGAAGGATGGGCAGGATTTGGTCATCAGATCGGTGTGAGGACAAGAGGGCAGGGCTTCAAAGTCGTTTCTAGGTTTCTGGCTTGAGGCGCTGACGGGGCCTGAGGGCCGTGCAGGAATGGAGATTTGGGATGGCACCACCAGAGATGTACGAGACGCACTTGGACATGAGGTCGGTTTCTTAGGGATCAGCTGGAGAAAAGCTACAAGTTGGTCATTGGTATCCAAATAGCGGGAGAGAGACTGTTCTAGAGAGATTGGGATAGAGAGAAGTGAGGGCCAAGCCTCACCGATAGAAGAGGGGGGATCCTAGGCAGGAGGAGAGCTGGCACTTTCAAGCTAAGAGACAAAACCTCACAAGACAGAAGAATGGAAGCACCTGAGGACAAGAGTGTTGGGTTTGCCCACGGCCACAACCTAGAGCAGAGCCTGTCATAGAGGCACTCGGGGGATAGTGGGTGGAGGAATGGAGTGAAGGAATGCTGTCAGGGGCCCCAGAGGTCAGCCTGGACCAATCAGCCCCATATTTCTGGATGTGGAAGACCCACTGGTGACCCCGTAGTGGTAAAGGCTGGCTGGGGAGCCATATGAGTAGAAACCTCCCTGCGGCCAGTTGAAGAGAGAGAGCAAGTGGGAAAGAGCAGAGACGGTGGTGGAGAAGGGAGAAGAGGGGTATCAGCTAGAGGGGCCACCTAGCTGGTTTGGCTCAGTGGATAGAGCTTTGGCCTGCGGACTGAAGGGTCCCGGGTTTGATTCCAGTTAAGGGTACATGCCCAGGTTTCGGGCTCAGTCCCCAGTGGGAAGGCAGCCAATCGATGAATCTCTCATCATTGATGTTTCTATCTCCCTCCCTCTCCCCTTCTCTCTGAAATCAATAAAAATATATTTAAAAAGAAGAAATATAAAGACTTCATTTTATTTTGTAATTATTATTATTATTTTAATCTTTAACCAACGATATTTTCCCCTTGTATTTTAGAGAGAGGGAAAGACAGGGAGAAATATTGATGTGAGAGAAACACATCAATTGGTTGCTTCCTGCACCAGGGCCCAGGCCGTGAGGAGCCTGTAACGAAAGTATATGCCCTTGAATGGAATTAAACCCAGGACCCTTGGGTCCACAGGTCGACACTCTATCCACTGAGCCAAACTGGCTAGGGCAAGCCTTCATTTTTAACATGTAAAGAGTTGGCAAAGGAGAAGGGGGTGAGGAGGAGCCGAGAGGAGCGCCTCCAGAGGAAGGTGGTGGAGCAGAGGCAGAGGGGCTGCTTCTGGCCGGAGGGACTAATACTTCTGAGGTTGCGGATGTGGACAAATCCAGAGCAAAGTTCTCCAGGTCTTGGGGCCTCCGATCCCATCGGAAATAGGTGGAAGGTGAGACGTGCTGTGAAAGACAGGTGGAGCAGCTGGCCAGGGCGTCTATGAGGCCAGGTGGGGCAGCACCTCGGGCCCAGCTGAGCCCATAAACTGCGTGTGTGGGCACCGGTCCAAAGGTCACTGAAGAAGCCAGCCTCAGGACTGGAGCCAGGGACCCGAGCGGTGGAAATGGATAACGCACACCCTGAGCCGAGCGGCACTTCCTGGGGCGCGCTCCATCTATTTACTCTCGCACTTGACAAACACTTCTCACAAGCCTGGCCGCTGTGCCCCAGCCAGAGGCAGATTAGAAGGGATACGTTAACACCCAAAGAGGGGAGAGTACGACAGAGCGAGACCTGAAAGCGCAGCTCAGAGCAGGCTGGGCACGGGGATTCTGCAACTTCGTTCCATAGGGACTGTGCCAGGTGGTGTCCTAAACAAGAGGGACAGAGTGGTGAGCACATGCTGGCCCTCGGGCAGCTGTTTACACATGGTCTGAGCAGGACTCTGCCCTCCAAAGACTCAGCCTCCCAGGAGATGGGGAGATTCTCCTTCGGGAAAAGCCAGTATAATTATCAGAGGGCTTCAAGGTATACGGGAGCAAAGAGGAAGGCATGACTGATGCCGGGGTATGGAAGTGGGAGAGACAGGCAGGGTTTCTCGAAGGACTTGGCCGCTGCTCTAGACCTTAAAGCGGGGTGGGGAACCTTTTTCCAGCCAAGGGCCAGGTGGATATTTATAACATTTACTCGCAGGCCATACAACTTAAAAATGAACCTTCTATACTTGGTCAAACATTTAATGAACTCACC